AAACTGGGGAAGAGTCATTACTGCAGTGAGGCAGTGAAACTGGGAAGCAGCCCGTATCCCTCAGCTGTGGTAGGTAGAAGCAGAGCTGGAATGAAGCGCAAGTGACCTTCTTGCCTGCTTGATGGTAAATGTCCTTTTCCAATCTGGAAGCTCCTGTTTATCCAAAGTGCCCCAAGATAGAATAATCTGAACTTTTTAGTGTGATGAGAATGATTTTGAGGACAGTACTGTCATGTATCACTTGACAGTCTGAGAACTACATCAGTAGGTGATTTTATCATGCAAACATCACAAAGTGTTGTTTATACACCTTGATGGCAGAGCCTGCTACACAGTTGGTATAGCCTGATCCTGCTAGGCTACAAACCTGTACTGCATGTTACAATACTAAATACGGTAGGCAACTGTAACATGATGGTATTTGTGTCTCTTCATGTCTAAACATAGAAAAAGTATAGTAAAATATCAGGCAACAGGAATTTTTTAGCTCTACAGTAATCTAACAGGACTAACATCATATACACAGCCCATGGCTGACTGAAAATCCTCACACAGCACATGATTTATACACCTTCATCAGTGGTTTATGTAACTTATTGATTAGCAACTATCTGATATGATATGAGCTGTATTGGGTTTAGGGAAAAGTTCAAATTACTGTGTTCACATCTTATAAAGATGTAGGCAAGTTTTTAAGCAGATATTTTCAAAAGTTTAATTTTATGCACAGAATTTAAACTAATGCAAATCAACCTCTGATTTTAAAAGTCTGTCAAGAGTCACGTAATCTCCAAGCTGCCAGCCCCACTGAATTTTAGCAGTGCTGTGAGGCTACCACCACACATGGGGCCTAGTTTGCCTGGGAAGCCTGAGGATGCCACTCTCATTCCTCTCCTCTGGGACTTCTGCAAAGGGTTCTGCTGACCACAGCACTGCCATTCCAGGACTTCTAGGGTGTGAATCTAAACATAGCCCTCAAGAACCTGAGTCTCAGTATGGATTTCAGCTTTTATAGGTTTCAGGGACATCTAGTTACACTGGCTTTGGGCATATTATATGTCCCCACATTCACTCTTGTTGCAACCTTTATGTCTTGAAACAGTAATGTGATATCTTACATGCACTAAACACTCATTGTATACTAGGAGCTATTCTAATCACAGCAACTCAGTGAGGTATAAGTACTATTATTACCCACTTTTGAGAGGAAAAACCTGGATGCATAGGCAGTAAACATCTCATTCAAGGTCACTGTTCTGCTCCAAAACCAAGCAATCTGGTCAACCCAACCTTCCCTCTCTGTGCCACAGTTCCTCTGGGGCAAGGTCATCTAAGCACTCCTTCAGCTCAACCTAAGGGTCCCACTCCAAACTCATCAGTTGTGGAAGAAAGTAGACCTGGTAAAGGGTACAAAGGATACAGAACAGTCACCATGAAACACTCCCCCCAAATACATTCCCTTTTGTCACTGCCTGAGAATTAGTCTTGCATTGTGTTGATTTGGAGTTATGCAATTTTCCTTTATAAAACATTAATCCCAGTCTCAAAGATTCAGATTGCGTTTAGAGTAGTATCTGCATTGAGTGATTACAGCAGCTTCGACCTTGCTGAGTGCTTTATCCTTCACCCTCTCACCAGCACTGCATGGTAGTCAACTCCAGTCATGTCATAGAGATGATAGACTAGTTATTCAGAAGCTCCTTTCCTAACCTAACTCTTTTTAAGTACAATGATCCCTCTTTACCCACAGGGCATACCAAGACCCAGTGGATGCTTGAAACTGCTTCTATATTGAACCCACTATATACTCTGTTTTTTCCTAGATGCCCTGCAGCATTGCCACTTAATACCAGAGTTAATCTCTCCTTCCATGTTTTGTGCCCTGTTGCCTCCTTTGCATCAGTACTTGTACTTTGGGGACATTATTAAATAAATTAAGGTTACTTGAACACAAGCACTGCTATACCATAGTGGTCAATCTGATAACAAACAGCTAGTGAGTAACTAACGGGCAGGTAGTGTGTACAGAGTGGATACACTGGACAAAGAGAGGACTCACATCACAGGAAAGATGCCACAAGATTTCAACAAGTTATTCAGAACATCACACAATTTTAAACTTATGAATTGTTCACTTTTGAAATTTTCTATTTAATGTTTTCAGACTTTGGTTGAACATACCCATGTTCAACTGAAAACATGGAAAGTAAGTTTTCAAGTTTTTATTCAATGATGTGAAATTGATACAACAAAATTAATAACAGTAAAAAATTTTCATATGTTAAACATGTGACTAATTCCCCAGGACTTGAGGTTACAGATGAATAGACTCTAACCCTTATACCTGGTGAAAATTCTTGGAACTCAGTAGGGACTTTACAGCCCAGCAGAGAGCTGTAGATCTTTCTCCACTGCCCATGGTAGGATCTCCTGTGGCATTAAAATTGTTCCCCACAGTTCTCATGGGCTTCCAAGTAAGTTTTGTTCATTCCTTGAGTAATCCAAATTCCAATTCCCTCCAAATGAATGCTTTGATTTAACAGGGGCACGTTTAACCATATTCAAAAGCCATAGATAATATCAAACCAATCTAAATTCAAAAGTATAAAGCAAGAGTTCCCTGCCTTTAATTCTAAAGGCTGTCTTGGTACCTGAGCCAATGGGAGTCCCCATGTATCACCTTCCAGAGCCAGAAATCTGCCTCAACAATGAAATGCAGTGGGCTGAGGAACCCTAGTTCAGGTACTGAAAGAAACACACGAGGTATACTTTCAAGAGAATATCTCAACATCCAAAGCAAACAGTTCTTTTCCAAAATTATTGTGTTGGAAATTTTCTTGGTTTGGAATTCAGTGATTCTTTCTTTACATGTTTAATACCTGAAGCCTTAATTTGTGAATCACAGAAATATAATCACCATTCCTTGATATCTTCCTATTCCTGAGACATACGATTTATTAACTGTGTCTTTTCAGAGTCCTGCATACTATAGAGATTATACATCATTAATTTGCCCAAGGCATGGGTTTGAGATACATATGTTTGTTTGTTTAAGTCCATACTATTTCATCAAAAGCAACGAATTGAGCAATACAGTCATTCTTTTCCAGAATAAAGCCCATCTTTGGCTCAGGTCTTAATCCTTAAGAGACCATGGCTCTGGATTTCCCTGGGAAGTTCTCTGAGGTTTCTGTGTTGGTATAATCACAGTCTGGCCCTGTGATGCTTCCATCCTGGGTTTTAGGGCTTGTTTTGTACATGCTCCTTGTACAATGGGACAACTTCATTAAAGGACATTCTTATATGTCAGCATACTGGCTTTTCCAAGAAGATATGAAGCTTCCTTTCAGAACCTGCAGCCTTACATACTGTTGGCAGAACTATGTGAAGAGAGATAACCTATTTACATACTAAAAAGGTCAGCATTGGACAATCAGCAGTTGGAGATGAATTTGCTGCTGGTTGCAACTGGAGCATAAGAATTGGGAAGAAGCTGGCAATTTTGCTGTCTCTTCATCTGGGTAGACAGCAAGTCTTGGTAAATATGAGGATGTCTGCTGCGATCCACAAGAGCAGCATCGTATAGAGAATCCCAGTGACAGATTGCTTAAAGCTTAGGGCCTTTCTGATTATAAAAAGTATACAACCGACCATGTCAAGTACAGGTCAGCCTCACCCTTTAAGAACTGTAATTAATTTGAGGTGGAATTATTTGCATAATAACTCTTTAGGCTCAGTTTGTAAAACACCAACCATCATAATAAACTTTAAATTATGTAGCTATTGCTTTCTTAACCTGCCATTTGCATTATGAAGGGTGTACTTTTTTTCTTGAAATATTTCTTTTCATAATATGTCTTTTCAAGGTCTTTTTAAATATTGGTAGTTTTATTTTGCTAATGCACGTCAAAAGTATCTTAGAAGATATTATAAAGGCAATGTTTTTCTCTGAAATCTCTGTAACATGTTTTTGTTCCTTGCCCGTTTGTAGATTCAAAGTAAAATAGAGGATTTAAATCTATGGTCTATCTTAAATGTTGGGCTGTAACTTAAGAATAAAGTTACTTTGGGACTAGGGATGTAATAATATGGTAGAGCACTTGCCTAGCATGCATGAGGCCCCGAGTTCAATCATCAGCACTGCAATAAACAAATAAATAAATAGTGAAGTCATTATTGAGGGGAAAAACTAAACAGAAGTGTTGATAAAAATGACATTGAAGTGCATCAATCCCATTGAAGTCTCACTTCAAGAGCAGCCACTCTTGGGCAAGCAGCAGCCATTGTTCTTTATGCCCTCACAACCCTGGTGCACTCAGAGGTTTTGTTCAGAAAAGAGAGCACCCCACTTAAGAATGCCTGTGCCAGGGAAATCACATCTCAGCGGAGGCTGCTTTCCAGAAATCCTTAGCTGCCCCAGATTCCCACCTGAGGTTATTGTGTGCTGGGGATTGACAGCAGCAGCTGATGTCACCCCAGTTCTCATGAGGACCCTGTGCTACATTTCATTCAGTGTCACCAGGGGATTTAGGAAGCCAGATGTGGACCTGGCCAGCTTTAGAGATGTATAGAATGGCTTCCAGGAAGAAATTGTTCTTTTGTACATACACATCCCAGATAGTTCAGTATGCCAATCTGCTCAGCATTCACATTCTGAGTGGGTCTTTGGTTCCTTAAATCTCTCCTCTGATTTAAGGAGAGAGAAGCCAGAGGCAGTGACAAGCTAGTCCTTCATTGGCCATCAAACAGTATCTCACAGAAATGATTTGTATTTAAAGCAAGCAGCCACAGTCTTCAGGGCCTAACATGACATCTATTTTGGCTAGGCCACTGTTCTAGAGCAGAACCATGGTATAGGCTATGCATGGGAACTCCTGGCTGTGTGACCTTATATAAGCAGGAGACAAGGCTGTTGGTTGTGTCTGCATCTTTCCTACCCTGACCACAGGCCCTCGGCTCCAGGCTGACCTGCTGCTCACTCCACACTGCCTCTCTTTCAGAATACTCAGCTGAGCAGAACCAGCAGGCCCTGCACCAATCGGTCTTCCTGACTTCCATGTCAGCCCACCCTTCTCGGGAGCTTCCCCTCGGCAGGGAGCAGCACTGCAAGCTGCTGCCAGGTGTAGCTGACATCCAGGCCAGCCAGGTGGCCCGGTGGACAGTGGACCAGGTGAGCGCCAGGGCCATGGGATGGGACCAGCCTTTGTCGGGCTTCTCTGTTGCCTGGGAAAATATCCCTTTTCTTTCAGGCAGCACATCCTCTATATTAAGTTAAATTCAAATGCAGTGAGAAGCCAGACATGATTTTGAGGAAATTAGGAAAGCCCAGTTAGTTCTGTGTCTCCTCTTCCCAGCCTTATCCAGTGCTGCCCTGTGCTTCATCACTATCTGCCCAGGGCTAATTTAAACCTCCAAGTCCACATCCCAGCTTTGATTTGAGGAAGTACAAATGTATAAGCATCTTAGACTTGAGTCCCAGCAACATCCTTGCTGGAAGATAGCACTGGCCCAGGACATCCAGGCCCTGAGCACCAAGTACATTCTCTGCAAGCAGGCCTTGCTTCCCATTTCTTCACCCAAAGCCACAAGATGATCAGGTCAACCTTAGGTTGGTTTTTAAAGTGCATATGGTATCAACATTGTGTAAGATTCTGCACAGAGGGAAAAGCCAGATCATATTTTAATATAATCATGCCTTACAATATTGGTTTTTAATAAGGATCCGTTAAGCCCCATTGCTTGCTATAATGCAATAGGACTACTTCATATTTAAAGCCATCTTATTATAAGGAGTACACTGTTTGGTGGAATTTCTTTCTGATAAAGGTATTGTTTCCCTAGTTAGGCTTGGGAACTTTTTATTTCAATGGCAAAAACCCTGGAGGGCAAGATTCGAGTTACAACTGGAGTTAAATTTGTCACAAAATATTTGCTGAGCGCTTCCTGTGGTCACCTTGACTTACTCGTGGTTGAGCCTTCCTTTGTAGGCTTGGGCTGAGGTCCCTGTTCTCACTCCTCCCCAGGCACTTCACATGATGGGCCTGTGCCCGGAGTCCTTTGGCAGAAACAGAGTGGTCTGCCATTGTTTTACAGGATGCCATGCTGCCTACCTCTCCTTCCACTCTTAGAAAGGCCTGGACGGTCCTGGTCATGGAGAGTTGACCTGGAATGTGCCAGGAACTGGCTGTGTGTCTGGGAAAATGGCTAAAATGTGGTCTTCCTCCTTAAAAGTGTCCCAAGTCTGCCTGTTTATGAATTTCTAGCTCACTCCTGGTCCCCTTCAGCTACATGACCAAACCTCAACTTTAAAACTTTAAATCATGTATACTTTTGCCCTTGAAGCAACACTACACAAATAGGAAGTTCAACTGAGAACTCAATGGCATGTCATTTGTTCTTAATTTTCAAGCTTGTTATTTGAAATTCTATATCTGGGAAGTAAGTCTTTTCTTGCTGGTTTCCTAGCTCTTGGTTCCATATGTCCTCCATAGTAAGGCCGAGATTTTTATTTCACCCATTTGGCAGATGGGGAAATTGAGTCAGCCAGAGGCTAAGTGACTTGCTTAAGGCTACACTGGCAGAATCAGGTTCACCATGCAAACAGCAGCCCTGGGCCTGAAGGAAAATAACCTGGGAAAGCGAAAGGTGACCAGGTGTCAAAGGCCTCAGAGGCCAGGTGGGGAGTGGCATGACTCATTTGGCAGCTGAAGTCACATTAGGTTCTCGGGCATAAAGTCACTTTGTGAATGTGCTGTTTCAGGGAAATGAGTATAACAGGTCTACAGAAAGAGGGAGATGCCAAGGAGAAGAGGACAACCAGGAAGTTGCCAGCATGCCCCTGGTGTGGGGAAATCAGGGTCTGGATTGGGGGCTGCCACAAGAAGAACCTGACTTCCGTAAATGTTTTAAAGGCAAAAGCAACAGCACAGGGAAGTCGTTTAGACATAGAAGATGAAAAAGTAAAACCAGCCAAATGTGATTCCATTTATAGTCTGAGCACTACACAGTTTGGTACTTAATTAGGATAATAATATGTGAGATCTGGGAGACCCACTAAGTTGGGAAATGCTGGAGCTGTCAGAATACTGAAACTTTGGGAAAGGGCCCAGTTTGGAGGCAAGGGGACAACACAGAGAAACAGGAGGCACTGTCCTTACCAGTGAGGGAAGGGCTCCAAGTCAGTGCTCCCAGAGACAACTCTGAAAACTGAGGACCCAGGCTCAGATAAAAGGTGCAGGGGAAGGGGAGATGCAAATGGGAGTCAAGGAGGAGCTGGAGGAAGCCCCTGGAAGAAAAGCCTCACAGGGAGGCCAGTCAAGAGCCTTCCATGCAGCAAGGCATATGGCAGGTTCAGCTCAGGGTCCTAGCTGGGGCTGCAGAGTTGGACTTCAGGAGATTTGGAAATCTTGTGTCTTTCTTAATGGAGGAGAGAGAACTTTCATTTGCTTCTTTGCATGACAGCAAAAAGAACAGGACTCCCTAAAAGGAGCATCAAGCAGTAAATAGGAAATGGGAGACTGGCGGCTGATCTGACAATTTTCAAGTTTGGCACTTAATATTAAAACAATTTTGGAATTGTTTTAGCGTAAGTTTATTTCTTACTCTAGACCAGGAAAAGTCTCAGTAGGACTGGGAAGTTCTCAAAAGGAAGATCAAGGAGAAAGGCTAAGACTGAGGATGCTACCAAGGACTGTGAGGAAGGTGACATCCCAGTACTTGAGTTCTGTTTTGTGTATATGTGTGTGTGTGTGTGTGTGTGTGTGTGTGTGTGTGTGTGCGCGCGCACGCGTGCAAAATCACAGCCTTTTATTGCTGGAAAAGGCCTTAGAGCATTTATAAATTAAGTAAAATCAGAGAGGCCAAGAGCCTTGCATCGAACGCCCCTGCTCATAATGCTTCCTGGTGCTTCGGTAACCATGACTCCCACCAGGGAGGCATTCCAAAGGCAACCTTCTCCCTAATCCCTCATGTTGACTTGTCTCAGCCTTGGTATCATCCTAACAAGATGCCCTTGAGGACAAGGAGCACATCCTAAATTTCTTGCCTGTATCTTTATGCACTACAGCACCTCTCTCAGCACTGAAATAGGTCCTCAAGAATGATCTTTGATGGATTGAAAAATGCAGGCTTTGTGTTTGTGTTCTTTTTCTATCTTTGAAAATAAGGCGGCTCTCCAAAGGGAGTCCACATCAGGGTGTTTAGTGGGTGCCCACCAACGGTGGAGTGCGAGCCCGCTCCGGACGCCACAATGAAATGGTGATTGAGGAGGAGGATTTGAAAGGGCAGTGCAGGATCAGTGGGGGCTGGGGCTCCTTTTATGCTTTGTTAGTGCTGGTCATAGGGGAGCCTCAGTAGCCGAGGACAGGGTGTTGAAATGAACTTGGGCATCCTGCGTAAAGCGCCATTCAGAGACCTAACATGAGTGTCTATAGCAGAAGAGAAGAGAGAGAAGGTTCCCATTGTCTGCCACCCTGGCCTGGGAGAAAGGCCTCTGCTCTGCATGATGCTACCTGTGAAGAGAAGCCAAGCAGGGCCTTTGTCACACTCCCAGAGCTGTGAGCTGGCTTTCAACTCCTTTATCACCATGGTTGTCTCTCCCACCACAGTGTTTTTCAAAGCATAGTTAGGCCGTGAAGTCAATTTAGTGGTTATGAAATGGAAGGCAAGAATAGATACATGATGTATCACGAAGGTTATTGTTTTGGGAAACTTCCGTTAGACATGGGTGTGAGCTCGTGCTAAATTATGGGCAGCGTAAGTTTATTTCTTACTCTAGACCAGGGAAATATCCTGTTCAAATACATCAATGTCTGAGAGTAAAAACCAAAATATTTTTATATTTTTACATCTTCACAGCAAACTGTCCTCCGCTCAGAGTGTCAGATGCACATTTGAGTGAGTGAGTGAATGCACAGGTGAATTTTATGTAGTGTCTTCCTGCCAGGTGTGTGTCCAAGCACATGCAGGCAGGCTGTGAGTGTTGCGTGCACATTCACCACCACAGATATGACTCAAATATGCTTGGCACCTCTTATATCTTAAAATACTTCTTAAAGCACCCCATATAAATTGTCTGAGCCTCAACCAAGTGCTCCCTAAATGTTCATTAACTATAAAAGATGGAAGTCACTTTAAAAGCAGACTTTACACAGGAGGGAGTATTTTGAAAAATTTAGGGTACTGCTAGCTAAGCATAGCAGCCTTCACAGTTGAGCCCTTTAAAAAGGGCAAATAAACCGTGCTGTTAAAAAATGAGACTCAGACTGGAAACATGGTCCCCAGTGGACTTTTAGCTAGTACAATCAGGCACACATCTCCAGGCTCAGCAAGGGAGAACACCACCATCCAGGAAGATTGAAGGCAGCAGCCCCACTGCGGAACAGAGGCCTGCTGCGCTCTGGAGAGGAGGCCGAGAAAGTAGGTCGTGGGGGGGACGTGAGCTGGGTACAGTGAAGGGCTCATCTGAGAACCCAGGCGGTGTCATCCTTCTTAGTCTTCCCAGACTGCTGTCTCATACCTACAATTAACTTACTCAGTGTCCTTCCAAAGCAAAGCAGGGATTTTGGCCATAGGACATTGTGTTCCTGACAGTGTAGAAAATGGTGTGTGTCAGCCCCCACAGCCCCAGCCAAGGACACACGCCCACATGTCAACCCCACACCATGGGGAGCTCCCACAGCCATGGCCAAAGCCTGGGCTGCCACCGGTCTCCAGCAGAGTAGCTGCTACTTTGAAACAGCAGAACCACCCCACGGCTGTCCTTTCACGGTCTGAGGACAAATGGACACTCCTCTCTCATTGAATTTTCTGCCAATAAATAGCTACCCGCATTTTACCACAAACTTGAAGGGAACAAAAAAAAAAAGACTTTCTTTGAAGGGGAGAATGAGAGGAAAACCTTTGGATGTTACTCTCCTTAAAAGCTCACCACTTCACATGTGGAAAACCTGTAGCAAAACGGGCTTGCTATTAAAAGTCAATAAACCTTAGGGGAAATAAATATCAACTAGTAATACTGAATCAATAGTCTGCTTCTACAGGTTTCATGGAACTTACTCTTTACTTTGGGAAAACAGACTGAGTAGAATGGGAATGTCTTTCTGGAAAAGCAGAGAGTTTGAGAGAGGTGGTAGGCCAGGGAGACGTGGCTACCCAACTGCCTCTGGAGAGCAAGGGCAAAGCCGCAGGAGGAGGCCACCTCGCTCACAGCCCACCTCGCTCACAGCCCTCACTCTGCTCTGTTGACACTTTGGTTTGACACATTATTTATTCCCATTAAAAGAAGCCAGTTTACCTCGACAGGGACAGTGATTTCTTGGCTAATGGTACTGAGGAGGGGATGGAGTCCTTGTTTCATTGTTTGTCCAGAAAAGGGCAATTTAACATAGAAAACCCCCAGAGCCACGCGCAGCACTTCTGCTGTGAACAGAAGCCCTTGAGCAAGTATGTAAGAGCCCCTCCATCCCACAGGGAGGCCACTGTGCCGACAGTTGACGTGGCGCCTCCACCACGGCTCCTGAGACGGGATGGCACATGGGTCTCTAGCTCACTCCTGGTCCCCCTTTTCTCTCCACCTTTTTCCTTCTATGACATTCAGCCCTGTGAAAAAGCCACACTAGAAGAGGACCTGAGTTGATTTTGATCCCCTCGGGGATATTGGCAACATCTGGATGCATCTTTTGGCTGTCACAGCTGCAAGTGGCAGCTAATGAGTAGAGGCCAGGGAGGCTGTTAAAAATCCCTCCTCCGCAGGACCGCCCCACAGCAGTTCTCTGACCCAAGGTGTTGTGGCACTGAGGTTGAGAAACCCCACCCTAGAACATGTTCCTGGACTCAGCTTTGGTTGCTTTTGCCCTGGCACCCAGCCCCAGTTCTGGGGATTTTACCCCTGTATCCCCTCCTCCTCAGTTCTAGGCTCTTCCCCACGCAGAGCAGATGTCCAGCCCTCATATTTCCCGCTGACTGCAGCTGATGCCTCCGCTAATGCCCTGCCCACTCAGAAGACCCAGCACGAGTCCATCTAGATGCTGCTGGGTCACCTCTCCAGCTTTCTCTGGCACTGTGGCTCCTCAGCCCTCAGTGCACATTAGCATCCGCTGGGGAGCTCTGAAAATAAATACCCAGCACCTGGATGCAGTCCAGCTCCATTCATTTGCAATCTCTGTGGACTGAGCCTGGACTTCAGTCAGCCTGAAAGCTCTGCAGGTGAATGTAATGTGTGGCCGAGCTGGAGAACCAGGGCGCCAGGCTTTCTGCCACCTGCTGACGGCCATGCCAACCCTGCCTTTCCTGATGCCACTCTCCTTGCCCTCCTCAGTGCCAGCTGACCTGGACTGCTCACTGCTGCTCCCACCCACCCTGTGTGGCCCTGCTTCTGGGTTGCCTCCTGTGATTCTCCATATCTAGAAGGTCTTCTCCACACAAGCATCCCAAATTGCCACCCACAGGAAGATGGAGCTTACATCAGTGACCATCTCAGGGACCCCATCCTTATGATGTTCCCACCTGGATGCAGTCTTCTCTTACAAAAGCCTGGGCCTTTACACTTCTCCTCTGGAGGGTCACACATTTGACCATGTGTCATAGTCATGAGAAAGGAGTGTTATACTCCTCCCCCTCTTTCTTCCCACCACACATTGAACCATTAACTCACAGGTGCAGCCCTTCCAAACCCCAGCACAAAGCCTCATACCTGGCCAGGTTCAGGACATGCTCATCTAGAACAGCAGCCTGGGAAAGGACAGAGATGCCCCATCTCTCAGTGTTTTGGGCCAGCGACCCATTAGGAGTCCTTAGCCACCATCAAAGCTCTTGTCACCTGAGTTCCAGTTGACCAGAGGCCTTCCATGACTTTCTTCTGCTCCCTGCAGATGCTATACACATGCTCCGTGCATCCTGTTTACCTAGAAGAAGACAATCAGGTGAATTCAGAAAACCTCAGCTTTTTCCACTTGTGTTGCAGAGCCCCAGGTTCTGAATAAACTGGGCTTGTCATGCTAAGAACCACAGCTGGTCGGAGCACATGGGCACTCATCCCAGAGCTCCTGGGTCAGGGTGATGCCAATACATGCAGCGTGATGGCTGGTTTGGGAGGGACTTTCTAAGTCCTTATCACCTCTAGAAGGATGATTGCAAAGGGACCCATGATGAAATAGACTCACAGTGCCGGAAGAGCATAAAGCAGATAGAACTCAGGTGTGCAGCCATAGGATGTGTCTGGAGGCATTGGTCCTCCCTGACTGTTCTAGAACCTGGGTCACCCATCACCTGGTGCTCTTCTGCAGTGGGAGGAGGAGCATCTTCTTACTTCTCATGGGGGGCTCTGAGGGAGTGGGTGCTCCCAGGATGCTGCGATGGTGGAACTTGTTAGAATAAGACCATGAGCTCCGCAGCCCTCTTGAGACCTTCCCCGTGAGGTGCAGAGAGGGACAGGGTGAGCACTCACCATTCAGTCAACACAGGAAAGAGACAGCCAAGAGGAAAAACAAGCAAGAGGACAGGTCCTCCTACAAATCACCCTCCCACAATTCCATTTACCATTGTGCTCCTGCTTCCATTCCTTCCCTGCTGAGACTGTGCCAGACCCAGCTAGAAATAGCCAGAGCCCAGCAGTCATTTGGGTTTGTTAGGAGTCTACATTTTATCATGTCTGTTCAGGGAGCGCCTCTAAATTGTCTATTGAGACCAGTCCATGGCTTCCTGAGTTGACAGTCCATCCTTGACTGAGTTCTTTTATTAGAAGGAACATGGGGCATGTGGGGACAGAGAAAGGGTAAAAAAGAGAGGTGGGAAGTCAAGTGAAAGGGACCGAGTCTCCAGAACTAGGATTTGGAGGTAGAAAACCCAGGTCCAAAAACATCTCTGCTACCCACTGACCAGGTGGGAGCTTGGGTAAGTTGTTAAACCTCCTTGGGCTTCAGTTTTGTGGTTGTTTAATTGGGAATCCAGCTCAGCATAGATTTACAATTTCCTCCAGGCTGCCAGGCACCAGGTGAGGACCTGGAGCCTCAGCCCTAAGAGGGGACTCTGCCATCAAATCTCCCTACAAATACAGTGGTCCTTGTGAATATTGCTGCATGAGGCCACTGTCCCCTGCCTACCTTGACACTGGAGTGTGGTCAGGAGGTTCAGGTGCAAAAAGCTTCTAGAATGCTATCACCATGACCCTGTGTAGGTCAGCTTGGTGATCAAAGGATAGAAAAGACACTGGGGGCAGGACTCATTGCTCAGCTGACAAATGCTAATGTGACTTGATAGTTACTATTTAAATCCCAAGTGTTTGAGGGATTCAAAGTTTATTTTACTCACATGTTGATTTACTACAACCCCAAAATTATTTCAGGTGTGTGTCTTAAATTAGGCTTTTCATCTTGCACTGTAGGTGGCTGAGTTTGTACAGTCTCTTTTGGGCTGCGAAGAACATGCCAAGTGCTTCAAGAAAGAGGTAAGAAATGTAAAAATTAGATATATTTCCATATTTCTGGCCCCAAAGCTCTTTATTTCTGTTTAGTTAAGTATAAATAAGAGCAGTTTGGGGAGGCAAGAGAAAAGGGAGCCAGCAGGGGAGGAGCCCAGCAGTGAGGGACTGATGCAGAGGGACAGCCACTGTCTTTAGTTCTCACTTATTTCGCTCTGCTTTGTCACAGAGTGCTGTGACACTCAGCTTAGACAGTGTGCTCCACAAATATACTGTTTGGTGGAAGAGTAAATGAACAAGATAATTAATCATGCAGTCTCTGCATGAGGCCATATGGGGGGGGGGAGGAATCTTCCCTTGGGAGTACAAGCAAGAAGTAGAGGGGACTCTGCTCCAAATGCAGAAGGGGGACCATCCTGTTATCCTGTTGCCAGCACCTGCTTCAAGAGGGGTGTGGAGGAGCCACAGAATCCTGTGAGATCTCTGCCTCCTGCCTTCCCTTGGTTGGGAATTTTCTGAACTGCTTAACATTTTTCCTGGAATTAGTATCCATAGTCATATGGGCCACAGAATGATACTGCAAATAATAATACCAACAACAGAATGATAATACAAATAATAATGACAGTGATTACCATAGGCCTGCCATGTGGTGCAGGCCTATAATCATTATCTTTTGATTCTCAAAATACTCTACATTGACAGTTCACCATGAAAAAGTTCAGGTTCAAGAGGGCTAGGCATCACAAGTAAAGAGCAGGGTTGGATTGTAGCCCAAATACATCTGATTCCGGAGCCTCTTTCACAGCTTTAGAACTTACCAAAGAAGTACCCTCCTAAGGACTCTGGAAAGCACCACACACCTCTCTTCCTCTCGAGTTCAGAGCACACGTGCATTCCAGAGAAGCACTATGGAGCCCAGTCAGAATGGCATTGGTCTACTGGCTGCCAATGAAACGAGGTTCTCCTGGTTCCACCTGAGGGTAGCACAGCCTGGGCACTGCTGACCCAGCCTCCTACATGTAGTCTACTATCTGTGTTACCCACCTTGTCCGAGTCTGTCTACATGATGAGCAGGAAAGAGAATCCTTTGTGGCACTTTATTGCAGCTTGATCCTTCCTAGCCAACTCTGTTATGTGCTCGGGTAACTCAACTTCTCTCTTCCCTCCCCTCTGAAACACAAGCCTTTTAGCTTAGAATTTCAGGTTTCCTCATCTACTTTACAGAGTCACTGGGAGGTTCAAATACATGGAAGGTTATCAGAGTTCCTTAAATGTTAGCTGTATCCTCACCATCATCACTTATTCTCAGGACAACTGGATATGTGGACAGCAATTTTTGCTTGAAAATGCTAGAGCCAGACCCATGTTAGGGATGGAAGGAGGCATATTCTCTCTCCTCCACCTGTAGTGTGCGCTTTTTAGCCCCTGGGGAAAGTATTTGCTTTTAGTATGTGCTAAATGGATAAATCTTCAATATATCATAAATGCACAGGAAGCTTTTCCAAACTTTTAAAGGATTAAAATGTTCAGAACAGACACTTCTCAGAAGATGATATTCAATCCATCAATAAATATATGAAAAAATGTTCAACACCTAGCAATTAGAGAAATGCAAGTCAAAACCACTCTAAGACTTCATCTCACTGCACTCAGAATAGCAGCTATTAAGAATACAAACAACAATAAATGTTGGTGAGGATGTGGGGGAAAAGGCATACTCATACATTGCTGGTGGGACTGCAAATTGGTACAGCCAATCTGGAAAGTGGTATAGAGATTCCTTGGAAAACTGGAACCACCATTTGACCCAGCTATCCCCCTCCTTGATTTATACCCAAAGGACTTAAAAACAGCATACCACACTGATGCAGCCACTTCAATGTTTAGAGCAGCACAATTCACAGTAGCTAAATTGTGGGACCAACCTAGATACCCTTCAGTAGATGAATGGCTAAAGAAATGCAGTATATATACACAATGGAATATTACTCAGCATTAAAAGAGAATAAAATCATGGCATTTGCAGGTAAATAGATGGAGTTGGAGAATATAATGCTAAGTGAAATAAGCCAATCAAAAAAATGCTAAATGTTTTCTCTGATATAAGGATGCTGATTCATAACGGGGATGGGAGGCAGCATGGGAGGAATAGACCACCTTTAGATAGGGTAAAGGGAGGGAGGGGAAGGGGTGGAAGCATGAGGGTAGGAAAGACAGTGGAATGAGACAGACACCCTAGGTACATGTATGAAGACACAAGGTGTGGTGTGACTCTACTTTGTGTACAACCAGAGACATGAAAAATTGTGCTCTATTTGTGTAATATGAATTGAATTGCATTCTGCTGTCATATGTAACAAATTAGAATTTTAAAAGAGAGTTAAAATGTTCAAATCACACCCCAGAGGTCTGAGGGTAAGTCTTCCTTCCATTATAAGAATCATCACTGTCAGTGAGACATGAATTCGAAGGGGTTTGTATTATGAAATTTGAAAAGGTTTAGAACCATGGCTCAAGGTTTGTGGAAGTGTTGCTAGAATAGAAACCCCTTTCATTCCTACCTCTGTGGTTCTGGAGCCAGGATTTAGCTGAGTCAAGCTGTACCTCAAATGTTAGCTGTCACCATCACCTCAGTGGTGTTACAGGGGGAAAGACACTCAAGCAGCCTCTGGAGACAAGCTCTGAGGTCCCCAGTGCCTCAAGAAGCTGTGGACAAGCAGTCTCTATGCTAGCCATTCACCATTACTGACTCAAGGAAAAAATCACACTTCACACTACAGTATTTTCTATTTAAAAATATTTAAGTGTCTAATAAAAATTAAAGGGCTGGGGATGTGGCTCAAGCGGTAGCATGCTCGCCTGGCATGCGTGTGGCCCGGGTTCGATCCTCAGCACCACATACAAAGAAAGATGTCCACTGAAAACTGAAAAATAAATATTAAAAAATTCTCTCTCTCTCTCTCTCTCTCTCTCTCTCTCTCTCTCTCTCTCTCTCTCTCTCTCTCTCTCTCTCTCTCTCTTTAAAAAAGTTGAATACATTCAAGGCATAGAACATGATGATTTAATATGCATATACTATTGTATATGCATATTAAATTGTATAACAATTTCTCACAATCTGGATCACTGATACAGCCAGGTATATAGTGGTGCTTGCCTATAATCCCAGCAGCTCAGGAAGCTTAGGCAGGAGTATTCCAAGTTCCAAGTCAGCCTCAGCAACTTAATAAGGCCCTAAGCAGCTTAACAAGACCATTCCTCAAAAATAAAAAATGAAAAAAATTAAAAAGGACCATGGATGTAGCTAAGTAGTAAAGCGACCCTGGGGTTCAATTCCCAATACCACCAAAAACAAAACAAAACACCTTACAGATACATCTATCACCACTCATTCAGACATTAGATCTTCATTTAGAGCCAAGAATCCTTCTGAGCGAATTTTAAAATGTTTTTAAGGCAAATAAAATATTTACAAACTTAAGATATAAGAAAGCTAAAAGGAGATAATAAAAACCAATCACTCTTCCACCAGCCAAAGACAACTTCTGTTAACATTTGATGTAAAATTTCAAATATTTTAAATATTATATATACATGTGGTCATGTATATTTAATTTAAAAAATCAAGTTTGAGATTTGTGTCAACATGCTGTGTTATTGCTTAACAATTCATGAAATTTCTCAGATCATTAAATGTTTCATAGAGAAGTAAATTTGGGTGCCTGCTTAGTGTCTCATCCCATGTCTATATTATAATTTATTTACTTCAGCTCTTATTGGAACCCTGGATTGTTTCCAGTATTATAAGTACTGCGATAGTATGCACATTGCATATTATTCTCTCAGGGGAAGAAAAACAAAACTCTTGGAGATTTACAGCATTACTTTAACAGCTTTTGATACAAATTCAAGACCAAGATTTTTTAAACATAACAACAAAGAAATTCATACTGGAAAATTTTTGTATATGGAATTCTTAATTAAGAGAGTAAGCACCTTTTCAAAATAACTTCAGTCCCAAGACCTAGGAGGAGATGGAGTTGATGGATGGGTGGGCCTGAGCCCAATGAGGGCCACGTCCTTCTCGGTCACTGACAAGCTCTCCATGGAGGCCCTGATGATTTGGTCTCACATTCAGCACCCAGGAGTTCCCAGTGGGTAACCAAGCTTTAATGGCAGGATATTTTAACTTGTGTTTGTTTATTTGTTTGCAGCAGATCGATGGCAAAGCCTTCCTGCTTCTGACACAGACAGACATCGTCAGAGTGATGAAGATCAAGCTGGGCCCCGCGCTGAAGATCTACAACTCCATCCTGATGTTCAGGAACTCCCAGGACCTCACAGAAGAAGACACTGTCACAGGCCAGGATGTCACAGAGTAAAGGTGCTTTCAAACTCGTGCCAGTGCCAGGACTCTTTCAGCAGTAAATTGCCACCTGTCAATTTGATTTGAATGTCCCCATGGTCATATCCATATTTAATCTGGACACTTTCAAGTGTCTGTGGCTCATGTGTATAGAGGATTTTGAAGAGTGATGGTGTGCCAGTGACTCAGAGGCTCAGGCACAAGTGTGGGTTTAAGAATGTGGTTATCGTTGATGGGATCCTTTCTGCTATGATGTGTTGCAACAAACAGACCAAAGAAGCCCACACATACATCTGTGTCCTTCCCTCACCATAAAAGAAGACATTTTCCATCTTGCAAGCACAAGTCTCTCAAGTGGTACAATATCAGAAAAGCAGATGCATCAATACATTGTTAGTGTTTTCACCAGAACCACATCTGAACATGGCTCATACCTGCTGACTGGAGGCCTGGCACTTTAAAGACTTCCTGTGAGGCTTTTGTGTACTTTACTCAGGAAAGTATGACTCTTTAAAAAAAATAATAAGCACATGATTTTGCAGTTCATGAAATCTCTTTTTTATTCCATTAACCACTTCTTGGTTGCCGCCCCAAGGAGGCCAGGAGCTTACACAAAAGAACGTGCCCAGGAGCCATGGGAGAACAGTTGGGTGGGCCCTTCCAGAAGCTGATAATACTCTTCTGAGGGTGCCCTAGGGTCCCCATTCTAACACTGGCATTGGCTGGTAGGCCAGATACCACCCACAGTGAAATTCTCCTGGCTCCCACTCTGTGGAGAGTTCAGGAGTGCTGTTTTTCCCTGCATCCTGTCGGATCTATATAACAAGTACATATGGGCCCTGTGTACACCTTTACAGAACCCTGCCATTAGGAAGGAATATTTCTAAGGTTGGGAGCTCGGTGTCTGTTATTTGTTTGAAAAATTCTGACTCATTATCAGATTTTATTTGTTTTATAATTGATTATATCAGAGACCCAAGTTGTGTGGAGTTTGTCCCACAGTTACAAAAAGCAAGTACCTCTTTCTTAGCTTCTTACTGCTCTTCCATGTAGAGCAGTTAGCTACAAATGCCCTTATGGAAGTGGAAACTCATCATTTTAGGATAGGAAGAAAAAAGGGAATTCATAGAAAAGAGACTCAGAACTGACCACATCCATTTGCTTCCTTAGGAATGTTAACAGTTTAAGAAAGTTAATTCTGCTTACAGAAGTTCTCCAATTTTAGGTAATGAAAGAAAAAAATATTCTCTGAGAAATATGCATACATTACATTTGTTCATATCCTTACCTAAATGTAATTTTAATATATTATCAGTTATGTAAATTTTGTTTCTGTGGCATTTGGTTTGTTGTTTTGCTTTGCTTTTTGTAGACTGCCATGTGCAATTAAAATTTCCTGCTTCTGCTATTAAAATTTTAATATATTTTAAATGATAATAAACAGATAAAATCCACACCTTTCTATCTTTAATGAGCACATCATTATAACCTGCACCCACACCATAGTCAGGTTTTCCCCAGCTGTGGAAGAGCAAAGGTTGATTTGCTGCATGTGTTAGTCAGCAAAGTCAGCCAGCTGGACTACTGAGTTCCTTGGGATAGGCTCCCTTAGGGAAATAGGTTTAGGTGTTAATAATTTGAGAGACCAAATTGGGGATTTTTTTAAATAATAAGAATTTTTAAATTGCTCATTGTTTAGTATCCATGGAAGACCTGGCTTGCACATTATGTGTATGTCATTTCAACACATTTCCTAGACCAGGACAAATGATACCAAGCAAAATTGGGATTGAACTGTTGTTCCTGGAAGCCAACATGATCAGAGATAGATCCAGGTGTCCATCACCTGCAGAACACCCCAGTCTGCCACCCTCGACCTTAACATAGTCAAAAGGAAACTCAGATCTTCTCACCTGGGTGTACAATGCCCTCACCAGAGTAGTGCCCCAGCCAGGAAGCTGAAATCATCGAATTGTCCATGCTGATGCATAGCTGGATAACACTGGAGTTATGGAGAATGTGCACTGTCAGTTCTTGGGAGCTGGTCCCTGCTGGCCCCAGCACACTGCAGACATTCTACTCAGCCCTCTGCCCTCTCCCTTTACTTTCTTTAATATTCTGCGCTTGATTTATACTGAACCTTCCTCCAAATTCACGCCACTCTTACGCCTCCTACCTTTGCATCTGCCCATCTCACTGCCCAGTGTGTTCTGCCCCTGACTTCTCAGTAGTCTTTCTTGACACCTTAACTGTGAGGTGCCCAACTGACTTTCTGGCCCGGCAACAACTGGCATCTCCGCATCTATTGCCCTTCACTCTTTATTGTTATTACTTGTCTGTTCCCACTAGTTTGGAAGATCTGTGGGGATAAAATCTACATCAGTCCTGTTCATCACTGATTCCCTGCGCTTGGCATAGACCCTGGCACTTGAAGCATAGTAAGTTATTTGTTGCATCGATAAATGACACAAGCCAACAAAATTTAAATGCAAATCTCAGCTCTGCAACTTCCTAGACAGATGTAACTTCTTTGTAAAACAAGAAAGAATATCTACACCAGGTTTTTTAAAATTTGATTTTGGGGGGTATTTGCATGCATACAAATATAAGCAACATAATACATATAGGGTCCTGATGCCTAATGGCAGCCATTAAGTAGGTGTCAATCAAACAAGAGCAGCAGGAACTCATTTCTTTGGCATTGGACCAAGCTACAAGGAATCTCCCACATACAAACCCTTTGAGTTTTCATCAAAGCTGATCAGCATTTGCCAACTCCACAAGGCCCGCTTCTCTTAGAGTGGCTGGATGCTGCTGAGGGACCATGGATTATCCTGGACTCAGCTCCGTCATCTTCTGGCTTCTACTGCATTCCAGCCAGTCTCCTTCCCCTCTTCCAAAACTTTCCAGAAAGGGTTGAACTGCTAAAAGTTGAAATCTTGCACTCTACTGGGAGGATCACATCTACACACCATCCAGAAACAATGCAGAGGGTGTAGAGGATACTGGCCCTGGTCTCTCTTCTGAATTCCTGCCTGGAATATGGTTTGAGTCAGGGAGAAAGCAAAAGCCAACAGGACTTTAAGAAATAGGGACTTCTAGGTTATTAGAAAGAATCCCCCAAAGGACCATTTGTGCACCACATCGTAAGTACGTAGGATGCTGGAAACTAGATCATTAGCAAGAATCCTAAGGGAGCTTAGGACTTTTGAGAATGTCGTCTTTGAATGCCTGTAATTTCAGGTACATTTTACAAAAAATAAATTCCTTTGATTTCCAACAACCCTAGAATGTTCAGAAAAAAAAAAAAAAAGCCTATCCTTAACCATCTCTGAACACTTCACTCTCTTTGTGATTAGACACCCTGACCTTAAATAACCCACATATTCAAAGAATTTCCAAGAGTGACAGCACAAGACACTGACTCTTTGATAACACAAAACTCCAAGACATAACACCTTTCCCTTGCTGAATGCTGACTTTCAAACATGCCTGGGATTTCTGAGATGAGTCATTGTTGTCTATAGGGTAAGTAATGGGGACACTGAGTATAGTGGAAAGTACTTGGGCTGTGGTCAGAGCTTGAATCCTGCATCCTGGACCTGGCCAGCTGTGTGATCTAGTAGCATTTCTCAACCACCTAATAAATCACCAAGTTTCCACATTTACTCATTTGTCTTTTGCTTCAAGTCACGTTAAGGAATATTCAGTTTTTGTCTCTGCCACTCCCAGGACTGAAGAATATTATTTTGTATATGAAGTGTTCCTATGAACATATTCATAATGTTGGAGAATGTAGTCTTCATGGGTATATTCTCTTTCAAATGTATTCCTCTTAAAATCTTAACTCTTCTTATAAATACATTCATGAAGAATCTATTTGTTAATAGATTCTTTAATATTCAGAACCCTTACATTCCTCCTATGAATAAATTTATTAATGAAGAATGTATTCCGTAGAAATGTTTTTTCAAAAATATATTCTTGTTATGCCCTCTCAGCCTCTGTCTACCTTTCAGTTTCTAGCTGAAAATAAAAAATAAAAAAAATAAAAATTGCTGTCTGTTGAGGGCCACAGCTGAGTCAGGATGAGGCATGGCATTTTTGCCAGGAGTAGTGGTTGAGAGGTGACGCCAGCGAGCCATTAAGATGATGACTTTTGAGTTCTCGCGGGGTTCCCGTTGAGTTCCGGTTGAGCTCTCCAGGGGATTCCTGAAGAGTTCGAATTGGTTGGGGAAGTGCCCCAGGAGGGATTTCCGGTTGGTGGTTCCAGGAGGAGCCACGTGGCATTCGGAAGAATTCCTGGGGAGCGTGTGTGGAGTGTGCTAGTGGAGTTCAGAAATAAAGTTTGTTCCTCTTGAGTGGCTCATGATTCGTGCCCAGCCAGACTGCAGCAGCTCTCAACTCAAACTTCAGGGTCAAACAAGTAAATTTGGTGACTGAGTCATTTAGTGAATTGAGGATCAAAGACTTGATTTTTCAATGAAATTGTCTCCTTCCAAGTCTCCGCACATAGTCCTTTTCTTAAGGAATGGATTTTTAATCCAGTGATCAATAAAACATACCCTTGCTGCCACTGCCATGTATCCTGGCTGGGATGTGCAGGGACATCTAGAGGACTTTCTGTGAAGAGTCAGCATCAGAAGGATGAGGGTGAGGAACTGTGGGCACTTTGGGAGGACACGTGGTCTCTCCCTGAGGACTACAGCGCCTAGGGACAACACCACAATATCCCAGTCATTGCTTACTAATGGCACACAGAATGACACAGAGATAAGAAAAGGCAGAGAAAGGGAATGTGGGGCAAATAGTCTAAGAATACCATTAAAAAGGGAATGGAAGGGAAAAGTGGAAGAAATGAGGACTTTGAGTTTAAAATAGAGTTAATTTATTTTTCTCCAAATGGTTCTATTTCACAGGATCAGACAAGTTGTTTTGTGCTACAATTTTCCAACAGGGAAGCACCCATCAATTTCCCATTTACCTCAGGCTGAATTTAAGTTGTGTTCCCTTTGATTTGGAAATCTAGGCATCAAGGCAAATTGATGCATAAAGAACACAAAGTACTGAGAAATCCTAGATTAAACCCGGATGTCTCCTCAATGGATTGAACTGCAATCCTTGAACTGCAGCTAACAGCAATTCTATTAAATACACATGGGTACTGTAGTTTGGGAATACAGGAGCCTGTATTTTACTGTGAAATCCTGGTGTCTCAAAGGTCTTTCAGTAGAAAAAAATTATACTACTGTTATTAGCTCAGCTTCATTTTTCAGAATGAAACAATAGGTTGGGTGCAGTGGTGCATGCCTGTAATCCCAGCAACTCAGGAAGCTGAGTCAGGAGAATATTAAGTTCAAAGCCAGCCTCAGCAGAATTGAGGCACTAAGCAACTTGGTAAGACACCATATCTAAATAAAATACAAAATAAGGCTGGGAATGTGGCTCAATGGTCAAGCATCCCTGAGTTTAATCCCCAGTGCCAGAAAAAAAGAAATAGGAGTTTTTATACGGTCTTCATCTGTCTTCATTTGTTTTCCAAATATTTCAGAGTGGGTAATTTTGAAACAACAAATTATTTCTGAAAATTCTGGAGACTGGGGATTCTAAGAGCATGGCACTGGCATCTGCTGAGGGTCTTCTTGCTGCATCGTCCCATGGTGGAAGGCAGAAGGGCAAGAGGGGGCCACAGATGCTTTTTTAACAAGCCAGATCCCATGACAATGATTTTGATTCATTTATGAGGGCAGAGTCCTGGTGACTGAATCATCCCTTTCTAGATGCCACCTCCAGCACTACTGCAGTGGTGAATAAGTGACCAAGGACATGAACCACAAGGGGAAACATTCAGCCCACAGACCACCCAAGGATGCAAGAACCTCTTCAGAAGTTGTCTAGATAAATCGGTAGGAGAATTGTGTCACCTGGCCTCCATGGAGGCAGCTGATTCTCTATAAATGATCCCATAATCTGAGGTTAGGACCTTTCCTGACACTGACTTCAAAAGGTGGCAATGGTTTGGTTGTTTTTTCTAAGAAGAAGCAATTGGAACTTCTTTTGCCCTGTCCTTTCTAACAAAAACAGTCAACAAACCAGTCCAAAAAAAAAAAAAAGTTTATTCAAGAAAAACTCATTCAGACAAGTTACTTGGTATTGGTAACCAATTACTTTTATTTTTCAACAAATTTGAAGTTATCCTCCAGAACATCCAACTTCTATTTTCTTTCTT